CCAGAGCCCCCCCCCCTGCGCAGGAGGCGCCGGCAGGGCAGGAGGGAGGCGGGGGGGGGTCCCGCCTTCGCCCAGCCCATCCCGAGCTCGCTCCAGGCCCCCCAGTGCCGCGCAGGAAGCTCGCCGTAGCCCGAGGCCGCTCTCCAGTCCCGCTGCCCGACCGGCCTTGCACGAAGCCCCCCCGCCGCAGCCCCGCCCGCCTGGGAGCGGCCCCCTCCTTCCCCCCCGAGCCCCCCCGGGCAGGCTCCGGCCCGCGGGGCGGGGGCGCGGCGGGGCGGGCGCTGCAAGGGACGCCGGGACTGACGCGCAGCCCGGAACTCAGCCGAGCGATGCGAGCGGGCGGCGGCGGCGGCGGCGGGGCGCGCGGGGCAGCGGGGCAGCCTTCGTCTTCCGGGGGGCGCCGCGCTCAACCGCAGCAGCCCAGGCGGCCGGGTGGGTGGGCCGGGCGGGGGCTGGCGGGGCGGAGCGGGGCCCCCAGCGAGGGGGCGGCCGCGGGGCCAGCCGCGCATCCCCCGAGCCGGGCCGCCGCCCAGGTGTGGCCGGGCGGGGGTCCCGGGGCTGGGCGCAGGCTGACCGCCCCTCCTCCCTCCCTGCGCAGCATGGCCGATTACCTGATCAGCGGCGGCACCGGCTACGTCCCCGAGGATGGGCTGACGGCGCAGCAGCTGTTCGCCGTGGCGGACGGGCTGACCTACAAGTAAGCGGCGGGCGCGGGGCGCGGGGAGGGCGGCCCCCCGGGAGGAAGGGGCGGCGCACGGGGCTCTGCGGAGCGAGCCGCATCTCTGACCGGCCAGGGAAGCCCCCCGGCCGGCTCGGGCCTTGTTGCGCGAAGCCGGGAAAGGAGCTCCGGGCGGCGTGGGGGCAGGGCGCGCAAGGGACGCCGCAGCCTCCGGTCGCCCCCCTGGAAGGGGCCCCTTTGGCCCCCTTTGCTCAGCTGATGGCGCGCCCCCCCCCCACTCTCCCAGACCCCCAGCCAAGCCGTGGCTGCAGCCTGTCTCTGGGCTGAGCCGTCCTGGGGAGGGGGCCTCTGCTGACCGGCCCCTTTTCCTGAGAAGCGTGGGCAGAAAGGCTTGTGAGCCATAGGTGGACCAGAGAGCCTGGCATCCAAGCCCTCTGCAGCATCCCCTCCCCCCGGGCATGGAAGGATTGGGGGGGCGCCACCCCTCCCCCCTCCCAGGGGGCTGCTTTCCTGCAGGAGGAGGCAATGGCACAAAGGGGGCCTGGCAGAAACGTTGTTTGCGCCGGACTTTTCTCCACCCCGGCATCTTGGAAGGTGCCAGGTGTGCTTGCTAGGGAGGGGATGCCACGTACCCTGGTGGTGGTGCTGCTGCTGCTGCTTACACCCGGGGCCAAATGTCCGCTGGTACCACTGCATACCTGGGGCTGCCTGAGCCTCCTGCCCCTTGGCTGAGGGGTTTGGTGCCTTTGAAAGGTCAGCGCTCTGAGAGAAGGTGGGGAACCCCAGGATGGACAGGGGCTTCGAACCCTCATCAGGCCCATTGGGACCTGAAGCCAGGGCTGGGCAGGTCTCAGGCTTGCCTTCCTCCCCACAGGCACTGCAGGGGCTCCGGGAGCCATAGGGAGGCTGCCCCAATGGGCCCGGCATGGCGTGTCTCCAAGCAGGGGTGTGGGGGCTCCTGCAGGGTCGCCCCCAAAATGAACGAGGTTGGGAGGAGGGGAGAAGCGAGGCAGGGCAAGAGGCAGGCTGGGCATCCTCTCATTGTGCAAACTCTGACGGAGGAGGGCGACTCCGTCCTGCCTGGGCCCTGATTTGGGGGAAAGAGCCGGCAGGGCTTCTCCAAGGGTGAGCGGGAGCCCAGGAGCCCAGTGTGGCTCTCTCGTCCACCCGCGTTTTCTGCCTTGTGCTGCTGATTTTGCTCAATGTCTGCAGCTTCTCCCACACCTGCTGCCTCCCCCCCCCTTGGCCTTCACCCTCCAGCTGTGCAGGGGGAGGGGGGGCACTTTGAAGGCCGGTCCCTCCTCCTTCCAGGGCCACATTTCCCCCTCTGAAAACTCCGTTTTCGCTTTCAGTTCTGTGCTCGGCTTCTCTGTGAACCGCGCCCAGGGACCAGAGAAGTGGGCTGCCCCCCCCACCCCATGCAGAGTTGGGCTCATGGCCCCTTCCCACTGTCTGCAGAGGCCCATTTTGGCTTACATTTCATGGTTAAACCTCCATGAATCCTGCAGGAAAACTGCTACAATGGCTCTGCTAGTCAGGCTGCTTCCATGTGAGGCTTGTTTACCGGAAGTCCTCCAGATAAAGGCCCTCCTTAATTGCAGGTTTAAACACACACACACACACACACACACACACACACACACACACACGTTTCACCTGCCAAGCTATCTGGTTGCTCTTTTTCAGCGGGGCGTCCAGTTAATATTTAATGGCTGAGCATTGCCTGGAGTCCTTTGAACGAAACCGTGGTTTTCGAAGCCAGCAGGTGGCACGGCCAGAGCCGCCACCTCTTTGAGGGTTGAGGGGGCACGGTTGAGCTTTTAATCGCTCACTCACACCAGCCGTCCTGGCGCATGTGGGAAGGAGGGCCTGACCTGGGTTAGGCCCTGTCCCAGTGAAATTAGCATTTGTCTGCGCTCCGTTTGGGCGCCTGCAGAGCCTTGGGGAACGTGGCACTTACATGCACGTGGCTCCCGTTCCAAAGAGAGGGCGTGGCTCCACTGGTCAGCGGCCGCTGCAAAGGCTCTGCTGGAGCCTTTGGGGGGTGGGGAGGTGGGGGAGGGGTAGGGCCAGCCTGGTAGGGGGGGGGGGGGGTCTGTGCAGGGATAGGGGAGCAGCCCCTTGGTCTCTGCACCAAAGAAGTGTTCCCGTCCTCACCGTGTGGGCGGGTGGGGGGTCCTTCTCTGCCTTAAAGCTGAGCGTGGGGTCCAATTGAGAAGGGTCAGGGGTCTCGGAATTGGGGGGAGGGGCTTTGGGAAAGCTTCCTCCGGGTTCGAAAGACTGGCTTGGCTCCACTTTGTTTCCCGTCAGAAACTTCTGCCATTTTGATCTAGCTGAGAATTTACAGTTTGTTTTGCCTTGGTGGCATCCCCTCACGTGGATGGACTCTGTTGTACAAAAGTTGGAAAGTTAGATAAAAGTTCAAAGCCCTTTGGGGGTCTCCCCAGTTCAGAGGTGACACCGCCTTGAACTCCACCCAGTGGACAGAAAAGTTTGGTCTTTGTTAAACCGCGTGGGAAGCAGCAACAGAGAAATCCCAGCCGAGCTTATGGCAAAGGCCAGGTTCAAAGCACAGGCGGGGGAGGGGGCGTGTCTGTGTTATGAAACAGCCCCCAGCCCCTCACGGCCATCTGAAGTGCCCGGCTGCTGCTTGTTCTTTCCTGTTTGGGGTACAGAGGAGGACAGCTGAACACTCTCTCCCCCTCCCCTTCCCCCCTCCCTCCCTCTCTCTCTCTCTCTCTCCAATGTTGGTGATGTCTCTTTGACCTGAAGAGACTCTGTGGCTGACCAACAGCCTTGCAGCCTCTTCCTCCTCCTCCTCCTCTGCTGCCCACCAGTTTCCAGCTGGGTTCAGGCTGGGTTACTTTAGGGTGTGGTGACCTATGGAGGGCTGACCACGGAGGTCGTGGCCCTCTTGGTGGCTTTCAGGACCCTGGGCCACAATGTCCCTCTGGCTGCCTCCAGGGCTTGGGGGAGCAGGCGGTTCTCTCTACACCCACACACACCCCCGTGGCCGGTGCCCCTTAGTGTCCCTAAGTGGGGAGAGGCCGGGGCCTGGCATGCCCTGGAGGGGTGGATGGATGGAGGGGCGAGAGAGGAAGGGGCCTGGGCTGCGTTTTTCACGGCGGCTGAGCTGCCTCTTACCAGATGGGCGGCCATACCAACCGTTGGGCTCCGTGCGGGGGGGGGGGTGTCCCAGGGCGGGGCTGGTTTGCCTCCCGCTTGGGCTGCCTGGGGTGCCTGGTGACACCGCCTCTCTCCCCCCCCCACAGTGACTTCCTCATCCTTCCCGGCTTCATCGACTTCACGGCAGACGAAGTGGTGAGTGTGGCAGGGGAAGGCGGCTTCCCGCACTGCCTCTGGGGAGCCCTTCCAAGGGGGAGGGGGCACGGCTGCCCTGGGCAGCTCCCCTGCGTTGGGAGATGGACAGGACAGCACAAGCACACACACACACACACACACACACACACACTCCCCAGTTTCTCCTCCATCAGCTCTTCCTTCTCTGCAAGGCTGAAGGGAGGGCGCCTTCCAGCTTGGCCTGGGGGAGGACGGGGGGGTGTCCCTTGGCTGGCAGGAGAGCCGGCCCTCACCCCCCCCCCCCCCCGCCCTTTTGCCCTGCAGGACCTGACCTCCGCCCTGACCCGGAAAATCACCCTGAAGACCCCCCTTATCTCCTCCCCCATGGACACCGTCACCGAGTCGGATATGGCCATTGCCATGGCGGTGAGCCTCTCCCGGGGCCGAGGCCTCGGGGGCTGGTGGGGCGCCCGCGGTGGGTCTGCCCAGGGGTGCCAGAGCGGGGGCCCTGGGGGTGCCCTGGGGCCAGAGGGCAGAGGCCTGGACTGGGCAGCCCCTCTGGCCCCGGGGCTTCAGGCCTCCCACCTCTTTCCCCCCTGCAGCTGATGGGGGGCATCGGGATCATCCACCACAACTGCACCCCGGAGTTCCAGGCCAACGAGGTCCGCAAAGTGAAGGTGAGGGCCGGGCTGGGGGTGGGGCGGCCCAGGGACGTTGGCGAGGGAGGGGCCTGGGGCTGGCTGGTAGCCCCCTCCCCAGACCTGCCCCGGGTAGGGGGGGGCGCTCTGCCGAAAAGGCCTCCCCTTTTCCACAGAAGTTTGAGCAGGGCTTCATCACCGACCCAGTGGTCCTGAGCCCCAGCCACACCGTGGGGGACGTCTTCGAGGCCAAGATCCGGCATGGCTTCTCGGGCATCCCCATCACCGAGACGGGCAAGATGGAGAGCCAGCTGGTGGGGATCGTGACCTCCAGGGACATCGACTTCCTCTCCGAGAAGGACTACAATACCCCCCTCAGTGAGGTGAGGCAGCGGCCCGCCTTCCCTCCTGGCCCCCAAGGGCTTCCGGGGCTCAGAAGTCCTCTGGCGGGGCGGGGGGGGGAGCTAGCAAGAGCCAGCCCCTCCCGTGGGGCCATTGCCCGGCTGGATCGGTGCCCCTGCCGAGCCCAGTTTAGGAGGCGCTGCTCTCTTCCCACTTGGGCCCCCAAAGGCAAACCGGCTGGTTCCCCCCAGGCCCAAAGCAGCAGCTGGCATCCTGCCACTCCAGGGTCCGAGGGGGCTGGCTGACCCCCTGCCCCCCTTTCCCTCCTTCAGGTCATGACCAAGCGCAGTGAGCTGGTGGTGGCCCCGGCAGGCGTCACCCTGAAAGAGGCCAACGAGATCCTGCAGCGGAGCAAGAAAGGTGCGGCGGGGGGGGGGGGGGCTTGGAGGGGGGGGGTCTTCCGTGGTCTGCAGGGGAAAGGGGAGGCCGGGTCCTGCCTGGCCCAGCCCGCCGCAGGGCGGCTCCCTTCCCGGCCGTGGGCCAACCGGGCGCTCCTGCCCTGCAGGCAAGCTGCCCATCGTGAATGAGGTGGATGAGCTGGTGGCCATCATCGCCCGCACCGACCTGAAGAAGAACCGCGACTACCCGCTGGCCTCCAAGGACTCCCGCAAGCAGCTGCTGTGTGGGGCAGCCATCGGCACCCGGGAGGACGACAAGTACCGGCTGGACCTGCTGGTGCAGGCCGGCGTGGACGTGGTGGTGCTGGTGGGTGTGAGGCTGGGACGGCAGGCCCTGCACCCCAAAATTGGGCCCCCCAAAAGGGGGCTGGCCTGGCCCGCGAGGGGCTGCTGCTTCCCGCCCTCGGTGGGTGCGTGTCTGGCCGGGCGACTCTGCTTGCCTTGTGCTCCAGGGGGCACCTGTGGGGTTACTCGGGGGTGGGGGGGGCCTCATGGTCCTTTCCTCCCCCAGGACTCGTCTCAGGGAAACTCCGTCTACCAGATCAATATGGTTCACTATATCAAGCACAAATCTCCGGAGCTGCAGGTCATCGGGGGCAACGGTGAGCATGGGGATGCTGCAAAGGTCGTAACTCTGAAAAACAGTCATAAGTCACATTTTGCAGTGTTGTCCTGACTTTGAAAAGTCCCTAAACAAACTGTTGTAAGTCAAGGACCGTCTCTACTTACCTGCCACCCTGTGAGCAGATAAACCCACCCTCAGATTTTTAAGCAAAGCACCGTGAAAAATGTGGGCGGCCTCATCCGTGGGTGGTGCAGGTTTCACGGCATGTTTGGGATGAAACCTGGAGGGTCGGTTAATCCGCGGAGGGGCTTCGACCCAAGTAGAGGCGGAATGATCGTTAGAAGCCCCCGTAGTTTCCTCCCATAACCTCCGCTTGTTTGGAAAATACCCCAAGAGAATTCACACCGTCGGAGGAAAACAGCTTGGTACCAGATTTTTTTTCTGTCTGACTAAAAAAGGGATGGATGGATGGAAGGATATGAAATAAAAGGAGATGGATGGATGGATGGATGGATGGATGGATGGATGGATGGATGGAAGGAAGGAAGGAAGGAAGGAAGGAAGGAAGGAAGGAGATGGATGGATGGAAAGAAGGAAGGAAGGAGATGAAATGAAAAGAAGAAGATGGATGGATGGAAGGAAGGAAGGAAGGAAGGGGATGGATGGAAAGAAGAAAGGAAGGAGATGAAATGAAAGGAAGGAAGAAGATGGATGGAAGGAAGGGAGGAAGGTAGGAGATGGATGGAAGGAAGGAAGGAGATGGATGGATGGAAGGAAGGAAAGGAAAGACGGATGGATGAATGGAGGGATGGCGGGTTAGATGGGACCCAAAGCGGCCTCCTTCGTGTGTCGGAGGCCACTGGATGCCTTTGGGGCAAGAGGGACGGGCGGAAACCCAGGCTTGGATCTCGGTGTGGAGCGTCTGGCTTTTGTGCGTTGCTGTTTCTGGAAGTGGCTCCCAAGAGCTGCTTGGCTCTCTGCAGTCAATGACTTCGCAGAAATTCCCGAATTGACGTTTCTTGGCTCTCTCTGGCCGGAGGGAGGCAGGCAGGCAGGCAGGCTGCAAAGTGGACTTGGGGGGAGGGGGGCCTTAGTGTGGCCGGAGGGCCCCGGGGGGGAGGGGGTCCTTGGTTGCTCAGGGGCCTTACGGGCCCTCCCGCTTTCTGCCCTGTGGGATGCCCAGTGGTGACAGCTGCCCAGGCCAAGAACCTGATCGACGCTGGCGTGGATGCCCTGCGCGTGGGCATGGGCTGCGGCTCCATCTGCATCACGCAGGAAGGTGAGTCCCGGCTGGGACCCCCGAGGGTGGGCTCTCCCTGCCTCGGGGGGAGCGGCTTCTGAATTCTTGGCTTGCTCCCAGGGATCCTGGAGGGCTCAGCCTCTTGGGCAGCCCCCAAACAGCCCGCGGCCTCCCACACGGCCCTGGCGACCCCCGGGGGGCTTGGCCTTTGCCTAGCACCCCCCCCCCCCCGCAAAGCCCGGATTGGCCCTTCCCCGGCCTTTACCTCCCTGCTGGTCCGCCGATCAGCGGGGCTGAGCAGGGGTGCTGGCACCGGGCTCTGTGGGTGGAGCCTGGAGGGGCAGCAGCCGCAGAGTCCCAGGGGCTGGGAAGGTTGGCGCTGCTGTGCCCGGAGAGTGCCAACGCCACCCCCCCTTTTTTCCTCCCTGGGTCTCCGATCAGAGCTGCTGCCTGGGCTTCCCTGGCTGCGGCCCGCGGCTCTCTGGGGCGGCCGAGGGCCGGGCCAGACCCTCGCTGGGCCCTTCCTGCCTATGACTCTCCCTCCCTCAGTGATGGCGTGCGGCCGGCCTCAGGGCACCGCGGTCTACAGAGTGGCAGAGTATGCCCGCCGGTTTGGGGTCCCTGTGATCGCGGATGGTGGCATCCAGACGGTCGGCCACGTGGTGAAGGCACTCTCACTGGGGGCCTCCACAGGTGAGGAGCCCTGGGGCTCCACGAGGTCAGGGGGGTCAGGGGGGCACACGTGGGTTCTCTCGGGTTCTGCCAACGGGCGTTGCAGGCATCCTTGCCACCAGGAAGCGGGGCTGTTTAGGGGACCTCCTTGGATTTCAGTTTCTGGGCCACCGGAGCTCTTTGCCCCTCTTTGCCTCCCTCCCTTCATGGCCCACCCCCCAATCCTCAGCGCAGCTCAGGGGGGGCTTCTCACCGCTTCCTCCCCAGAGCCCCTCCAGGCTGACCGGAGAGCAGGGGGCTGGCCCTGCCCCGCCCCCCCCCCCGCCCGGCCCGGCCCCCCCCCCCCCCGGTGCCCGGGCCCCCTTGGGTGCGGCCCCCAGCCCAACCTACGGCCCCCTCTTCTCCCCCCAGTCATGATGGGCTCCTTGCTGGCGGCTACCACGGAGGCCCCCGGGGAGTATTTCTTCTCCGACGGCGTGCGGCTGAAGAAGTATCGGGGGATGGGCTCCCTGGACGCCATGGAGAAGAACCGCAGCAGCCAGAAACGCTACTTCAGGTGGGGGGGCAGGAAGTGGGGAACGGAGCAGCTCTCCCAGGCCAGCTGGGCCTCCAGAAGGAGGGGGAGGGCGGGAGGGGCGGCCACGGGGCATCCAGGTGGGCAAGGAGGGGCTGCCCCAAAAGAGTCCCCGCGGAGGGGGAGGGGCCTTCGCCAGGCCCGGCTGCTCTTCTGCCGGGGCCTGGGGGCTCCAGCTCAGGCGGGGGGGGGGGGGGGCTGGTGGCTTGCCAAGAGTGCCAGGGTGGAGCTGCTGCCCTCCAGCGCCTGCCCTGCCTTGCCTTGCAGTGAAGGGGACAAGGTGAAGGTAGCGCAGGGCGTCTCCGGCTCCATCCAGGACAAGGGCTCCATCCACAAGTTCGTGCCATACCTGATTGCTGGCATCCAGCACGGCTGCCAGGACATTGGCGCCAGAAGCCTCTCCGTTCTGCGGTGAGTCCATGAAGGGGGGGGGCTCCCCTCTGGGATCCCCGGGGCTGGGATGGCCGCTTGGGCAGTGGGGGGGAGGGAAGGCACGGGGGAGGCAGAGGGGCAGTGGGGGGCCCTGGGGGGGCAGGGGCCCCCGCCCAGCAGCGTCCCCAGCGGGAATGCCAGGAGGACAGGCCACCTCTCGCAGGCTCCGGGGGATTCCCAGGGCACCAAGAGCCTCGGCCTGAGACGGTGGCGGCACAAGGGCCCCTGCGAGGGAGCCGCCCAGCCGGGGTTCCTGCGGGGAGGTCCCCCTTTTTCCTCCCCAGGCTGCCTCCCCCTCTCTTAGGCCCCCTCCCCCCCCCGGCATGAAAAGGGACTCCCCCTGAGGCCCCCCTCCCCTTTCTCTCGCCAGCTCCATGATGTATTCAGGGGAACTGAAGTTTGAGAAGAGGACGATGTCAGCGCAGATCGAGGGGGGGGTCCATGGCCTCCACTCGTAAGTCTCTCTGCTTCTTGGCTGCCCTGAACCCCC